TATATTTGGGAAATCCCTCAAGGTTTCGAGGATAATCGTAACAATAAGTTAAATTAAATATTACAATATGGGTATCTAACTAAAGAGGTTTGAGAAAGCATACAATTGCAAATATTTTTGAGGAATTTTGACACCTGCTTGAAAATGTTTATTCAACTAAATCAAACTTAAGAGGGTAAAGAAAGATTACTATTGAAAGTATTTTTGTCGCGGGTTAAAAAATGTAAAAGTTAAAAATATTGAAATTAAATGAAATATTACAACATTAGTATCAAAACAAAAGTCTTTGAGAAAGCTTTTTTTTTGAAAAGTTGCCACCTATCTAAAAGCCGAACTTAACGTTCGAAAGAATTTACAATGTATTATTAAACGAAGTGCTCAAAAAATAAATTTATTCATTAAAATTTATACTGAGGGTTTTTAGTAATAGAGCTGAAATACCAATTAAATAATATTTAGAAAACGGAAAATGTTTATAAAAAAATCGATTCGGAGAAATGTAAAACAATACATTTTTAACTCTTCTATATACTTATTTCTCAAAGATATTTTTGTTTTACCAACGATATCTCTTTTAATCTCAAATTCAAATTATCAAATTCAGTGATTGAGAAGCCGCCCACGAACGTGTGAAAAATAGTCACGTTATTCAAATTTAATTATCTTTGAAAAAGTGTTTTAAAGAGCTAAAACCACTGTATCCGATCGATCCAGCTCCATATCTTCTGTAATAATTCATCATATTTAATGTGTGAAGCACCATAGGGTTGCCACGTGCCGAAAAATTTTCGTGAATTAAATATATATCTTAAGTAAAATGCTTTGAGTGTCTTCATACAGCAAGATTTTTCAGAAACCTTTTGCAGCTGAAAGCAAAGCATTTTTTGATTTTTAATCTTCATTTTGAGTTTTCAGCTTTGTGAATCTGCTGAAAATTTAACAAAAATTTAGCCGGCTTTAATTGACGGTAAGTTTCGTTGAGTGTGAACACCAGCAACTTCGCCACGCTTCGCCTTCAGCGCCGCTCGACTTTCAGTGTGTATGCACCCTTATACATTAATATGGGTGTCACCATTGTCCTCTAAAAGGTATTGAGTGTTGTCCTTTTTTATTTTTTTTTGTAAGACATCTAATTCATGCAGAGCAGGGAAATAAATTCGCAGAGTTTCCGTAAAATATATCTGTGCCCAAAAACAGGTTCTTGTTTTTTTTGTTCCACCCCTGACGGAAGAAATAACTCACATTTTTTCCATATAAAAGTAAGTTTAATTTTTTTTTCGTATTTAGTAATCACTCATACCGGTAGCTTGGAGTGAAAAGTTGCTAAGTCCACTTTTCATGAAAGCTCACATTTTGATATAAATAGGAAGCACATGTCTCACCCGTGACGGTGGAATGCCCCATATTTATTAATATACGTGCGATAATAAAAAATGCAGCAATTGATTTTATAGGCTGATTGATTAGTTGCATCCTTGAGGGTTTGCTACCTCGTAACACGTTATCTATATCAATACCTTATTAATCTGTTTAGTGGAGTACGGGCATTACAATTTTGATAACATAGCCAAAATTCGCGCCATCATCAGCCTGTAGTGTGAAAATATGCAGTCTAGAATTTATTGTTCTTTTTGATAATAATTTTTGTGTTATAAAATTACTTTATGGCTACTGGGTTATGATTAAAAAATAATAATAATATTACAGCAGCTCACAAAAAAATCAATAAATTTCTTTATCGGATCGCATTTATTTAAAGGTCCTCATCAACATTTTCTTGAATCCAATCGATGTAGTGCGATACTTTGGTATACACGCCTGGATACGGGTACACTGTGCACGGTTTGATACTCCACGAAACAATACCCAATTGAATATGTCCCTGATATAGCAACGGACCACCGGAATCGCCACTACACTGGCCCTTACCGCCTTCGTCAACGCCGCCACAAATGTGGTCGCTGGTGGTGCGACCATTGTGCCGTTCAGTGCACTCAGCATCCGAGTAGATTTTCAAATCGACTTCTTGAACAACACTTTGTAGATAACCACCGGTCTAAACGAGAGACAAAACAACTTTCATCAATGGGCGCTTCAATACAAAACAAAACCAAAAAAAACACCCATTTACTCACCGCGTTGAGGCCCCAACCAACCAGAATGCCGGGTGCTCCTTCTGCCACTTGCGGTATCTCAAAGCCCTGTTCAGGCAAGGTGACCGCCGCAATTGTTTTGCCATTGAACACCAACTGACCAAACAATTTCAAGAGCGCAATGTCATTGGCATAAGCATCCGCAGGTCGATAATCCTCGTGAACTATAATGCGTTTCACCTTCGCCACATTTGTGCTGGTTGCGCTGATTACCGACGAGGCAAACTGAATGCTGATCCGACTAGCTGTTGCGCCGGAAACGCAATGCGCAGCAGTGAGTATCCAGTGCGGTGCTATAATGCTTGAACCACAGGAGTGTGAGCCGGTCGAACCACGCAAGGACACCTTTTTCGTTGGACAATAGACAATAGAAATGGGTCATTAGTTTTTTTTTTTTTTTGAAATACAATGCGTTTTTTGCACTCAACGAACCAGAAATGGATAATTCTCAATGCTGGTCGATGTGCCGTTTACGACGCGTCCTTGTGGGTAACACGATACTATGCCCAATAGGGCTGTGAAAATTATGACGACTGAAGACCACATAGCTGAAGAAAACTTGTAGCGCTTTGAACTCGAGCTCCGGCAAAACACTGTCTATATAAATACTTAATAAAATACAATCAATTTATTGGATTGATTCTTAATCTAATCACGTATTACCCAAATAGGAATAAAGTTAAGTGGTATTATCGTTGTTTAAGATGGTTCTGTAGATAAGTTTCGGTTTAGGTTTTTGTGGGTGCCTGATAAGGAAAGTTATTTAGAGCTATCGAAAACTAAGTACACACATTTGAAGGTTTTTTTTATGCTACTGGCGATAAAACGAAATTTCTGTTAATGCATGTAAGGCTGCAGATATTCGGTTAATCGAGTAATCGAGATTAAAGAACAAATTTAACGTAAAAAAGTAGACTTGTTTTTTTTTTGTCGGAGCCAGACACAAAGCGACACGTGTAGATAAAAGCACTCAGGCTACATGCCGTCCATTGTACTGTTTTCATTTGCCTTTTAATCTGTTTTAAATCTGCACGGTTTACGAATAAACTTAAGCAGAGTGTTGGGTGACAAAGAGCACAGGTGTTCGCCTATCAACACATCGCGGCCAAATGTCTCATACCGAATTCCCGCAAAGGCAGGACAGAAGCACAAAAAGTGTTCCAGGCAGGATGGGAAAATGAAGCTTTGATGTACGCCTATCACAGTCAGGTTTTTGTACCACGTGAAGTGAGCAGTCAGCAGTCCAACAAGAAGTCTGTAGTCCCGTCTGCTCGGTGAGAGCGAAAAACTAGATATGCCCAAAATTTTCTATGGTTTTCTCGTCTGGAGGAATGATCTGTAGTTGAACGGTCTGAACTTGAAGAAAAGTTCACTGCAGTGGTCTTTTGAAGACTCTTTCTATCAACCTTAATTCATTCTTTCAGATCGCCGAGAACAATGTAATCGAGGTACCTTTGCCTATATGGGGATGTCTAAAGTCTCACGAGGTTAATTCATATCACAACGGTAAGCACTTTTCATCACCACAATGGGAAATGAGGCTTTTGGATATAAAGCCATATTTACTCTAGCTGTAAGCAGTGATGCCACACATGGACTTTACCTACCAAAACTGGTAGGTTTTTTTTCCATTTGGTAGATTGGTAGTTCTCTATCACATTTTGTTCTCTCAATTTCCCTACTTCGCAGGTTTTTTGGGTACGAAAACGCAAAACCAGTAAAAGTTTTCTGAAACTTTTGATAGTTTTGCGTAGGAGTACACTGCTAATAACTTTGTACAGAAGAAAATGCGTGACGTTGTCAAAAAAAAAATATATTCAAAAATCAACGGTATTTTGTAGACACTTCAAACCAGAGATTTGTTGTCGTGCCACTTTCTTGAATTTTGCTAATTTTGGTACAAAGTTAGGACTTCGGATTTACATGGCTTTGGTAAAAAATATAGTTAGGGATAGCTTTCCTTTTTCAAAACATGCTGTACTGAAAAAATGCTTTTTAGACTTGACTATATGACGTTAATCCCCATGACCTGTATCTTTATTTGCAAATCTAAACATTTACTCTTTTTTTAAAAATAAATTCTTTTCAAATGCATGAGTCACAGTTCTCCTTAATCCAATCAACATAATGCGACACTTTGGTGTATACACCCGGATATGGCGGTGTACCGCACGGTTTTATACTCCATGAAACAATGCCCAATTGGACGTGTCCTTCAGAGAGCAGTGGACCACCAGAATCGCCATTACATTGACCCTTCCAGCCTTCGTCTACACCACCGCAAATGTTGTCAACAGTGGTCGCGTTCTGATGACGCGCAAGACACTCCTCGTCTGAGTAGATTTTCAGATCTACCTCTTGCAGAGTTGACTGCACAGGACCATTGGTCTGAAAACGACAAGCGAATGGTTATAAGCCAAGCAATTGATTAGCAACGCGAAAAAGAGCTCACATAATTTCGGCCCCAACCAGCCAACACACCGGGCACACCCTCCGGCACCTGTGGTATCTCAAAGCCCTGTGCGGGCAACGTTACCGGCGCAATAGTTTTGTAGTTGTACACCAACTGACCATTCAACTCCAACAGGGCAATATCATTTATAATGTACCAGGATGAATAGTTTTCGTGTACCACGATCCGCTTCACCTTCGCCACATTCGTGCTTTTAGCATCAAGAACTGTCGAAGCGAATTGTATGCTGATGCGACTAGCTGTTGCGCCGGAAACGCAATGCGCTGCCGTGAGTATCCAACGTGGTGCGATAATGCTGGCACCGCAGGAATGCGATCCGGTTGAACCGCGCAGGGATACCTTGAAGAAACAAAGCAAACATCGAATTTAAATTGTATTGGTCCACACGGCCTCCAAACGGCCTTCGATCAACGCACAATATATGGAAATTGTTCCACCGTAGTAGCAGTGCCATTGACAACACGTCCTTGAGGGTAGCAATGAACCACGCTAGCCAAACCGAGCAATAATAGCGCGTACTTAGTCCACATTTCGGCGGTCGGATTAGAAAGACTGAACTATATCAAAGACGCAACGTCTACTTATAAACTCAGCCGCTTGGGTCAATAATACGGAATTAGACTATTGTAAATATTAAAGGATTTCAATACTGACGTACGTTAAATTTGTATGTCCATTGATAAATAAGATAACATACAAACGCCGTGGGTTTTGCCAAAAGAACTACATATATGTAAATGCCAAATCGCGTGAAATCATAGATAAGATATCTGATGGAAATAAATTACTATATCTCGTAAGTGGCAATCAGTGCAATAATTGTGCTCTGAAAAAGGTATGTATGTGCGTATACATATAAGTATGTATGTATGTATGTATGTTTTTATATGAGTACTTGAACTAAATAGGTTTACAGCTCACCTTACGGTTATTATTTACTATTATATAAGTATGTAATTGGTCAAGAAATCCATATATGTATATGTACATATGTATGTACATGTCATCGATGCCTTTGGAAAACTGCCCATCGATCAATTTTATAACAGCCTATCTTACGGTACACAGACTTTACAGGAGAGCGAAAAAACTGTTTCTCTATTAAAGCATTGACTTGATAGGCGGTATTTTACAAATCTGTTGTCTTAACAACGTTTTTACGATTTTTATGCATAAATGTCAATGCCTGGAGTTCAGCGTTATCAAATCTCCTTTTTGCCACAACGGCGATTTAGGCGGTTTTGCAACTGGTCGATGGTCGGTTTTGCAAAGGCATCGACGATATGAAGGTTTATGTAGGGTATGTAAGCATAATCATAAGATTCGCATTTTTAGTAAAGAAACTTAATTTGGAATCATTTGAAATGTGCCAAGGGCATAATTTGCCAGTCTCGTTAGTCATGGCCGCCCTTGTTGCACAGAACTTGGATTGAAGGAACGCCTTTTAGGGTCAGAAAAATGTCCCAGAAGATACACTAGGGGTATTCCCTTAAACTCATAAATCTTGTAAGTTAACGAGCCGCGTAAAAAACCTGTCAAAATTTGTCAGTTTAGGCTGGAGATAAGCATGGGCCTAAATTTTCAGGCCCGGCCCGGCACGAGTGCAAAATCAAAGTATTAGTCCTACATAATTTGGTATATGGACCTTTTTTGTAGAGAATCGAAGTTGGGTAAGAAAAAAAATTTTTTTATTACTTGAACTTTGATGGACTTGGGCGAGCCTAGGATATTGACCAAAAATTTTCACACTTCACACAGATATTTTTTAGAGCATAATGAACCATATTTTTGCTATTACCAATCAAAATTCTTAAAAAGCGGATTTTCGGCCCACGCTATTATCCAACAAGGACTGAAAAAAGTGCTTCCCTGCATACTTCCTAGAAAGGTGTTTTCTATTTACAATTTACGCGAATGTACTTAAGTAAATGTTTATATTACTAAGCATTACAAATAGCATTTAATGTCTAAATAAAACTGTTTGATATGAACCTTAAATAAATTCCTTAAAGAAGTATGATTTTTATGAATTAAGAAAAACTTTAAAAGAACTTCTTCAGAAGGCGTACTACAAAAGCCCTACTGGAAGCTCTTTTTTGAGTAGCGAAAGCAGAAGCCCTTCAATTTGTCACACTCCATACAAAAAATGAAGGAAAGAAAGACCTTTTTGATGGGATTTTAGCTCCTGAAATTACCTTCCGAGTAGTACTTATGTATGACCCTTCAGTCGTTTACCTTATCAGAAACTTTCACTTTTTTGCATTTGCCCGAAAAAAAGAGATTTTAACCAAATAAACTAACCAGAAAGAAAGTAAGCTCTCCAGATATTCAGCATGTTTGGAAAAACGTTTCGTTATCAATTTGACAGAAAGCTTCACCCTTTTTTTCATAGCAAAATCTGCTATAAATTAGAGGAGTGTCTGCATTGACCTTCATTAAAAAACCAGGACAATTTAATTGTGGACCAGGACACCAGGACAATTTGTCTAAATCAGGACAAATCCTGGAAAGCCAGGACGTCTGGCAGCCCTAATGTAGCATCTTCTTTATTAGCGGTGTAACCGCCTACGTGATTTTGATCGAGTTCAACAAAACACGCCAGTCCTTTCTCTTCTGTGCCAACTGGCGCCAATTGGAAATGCCAAGTGAAGCTAAATTCTTCTCCAGCTGGTCGTTCCAACGCAGAGGAGGCCTCCCTTTGCTCTGTTACCAGCACCGCGGTCCGCGTTATATACTTTCAGAGCAGGAGCGTTTCTGTCCATTCGAACGACATGACCAAGCCAGCAGTGCCGCTGTATTTTAATTCGCTGCACTATGTCCATGTCGTTGTAAAGCTCATACAGCTCATCGTTCCATCGTCTGCGGTACTCGCCGTCGCCAACGCGTAAAGGTCCGTAAATCTTTCGCAGACTCTTTCTCTCGAAAACTCCAAGAGCCGCTTCATCTGATGTTTTCATTTAGAATTTGGTTCAAAAAGTCAACAAGTTTGAACTAATATGGTAACCAGGACACTTAACTTGTTCAAGACAATGAACTTGAACTGACTTGAATGAAATTTTCCAAACACCGTCCAACGTTTGACCAAGATAGATAGATAGCTAGATAATAAAATGAGGTTTGCACCGCGACCTAGTGGTCTATTGTGCCCTCCACTCTTCACAATACTTCCTCCAAATCTAATTCCCTGAGAAAATTTAACAGTACCTTAGGGGATAGGGAGTGAATGTGCCTAATCTGTGGCCACATTGAGCCTAAACTTCTCTCACGACTTCTGCGGACTGCATCACATTCGGTGAGGATGTGTAGAGGTGTCTCACTGGTAGAGTCGCAAAACCGACAAAGGTCGCTCGCCCATATCCCCAGCTTATGTAGATGCCCTCTCAGCCTGCAGTGTCCTGTGAGGATACCTTTTATTATTCTAATCTACCCTTTTGGGAGGTCAATTAAGCTTTGGAATCTACTTTTGTTATAACCTCCCCGTAAACTCTTTGCCTGACGCATTCCTGACGAATTTTGCCAGTTTAAATCCCTCATAGTGAGAGTGTTGGGACCCACTCCTAGGAAGGGCTCAGGGCCAACTGGAGTAGTGGCTGCCGCCTCTCTTGCGATACAGTCAGCCGCCTCGTTACCCTCTACTCCCTTGTGACCAGGTACACACGCTAACTTGATGTTATTGTGTCTACCTAGGGAGTTAAGCTTCTCAATGCACTCCAGGACCAGCGACGATTTGACCTCATAGGATATGAGGGCCTTGGGTGCTGCCTGGCTATCGCTTAGGATTAAGATTCTCTCGTTTCTATACCCTCTACCCATGATTGTATCCGCACATAGGTAGATAGCGTAAACTTCTGCTTGAAAGATGTTCGGATATTTCTCCATAGGAACAGAAATCCTGGCCCTGGGTCCAACAATTCCAGTACCTTTTCCTTCTGGAGTCCTCGAGCCATCCGTGTACCAGTGCAGAGTGCAACCCTGAAGTAATGTCTCGAAAGCGGAGACACCCCAGGTCGCTTTACTGCAAAGCTATATTTTGAATTTCTTCTCAAAGACTATGGTCTTTCCTATGTCATCTCTAGGTAACAGGACTAGTGGGAGCGAGGAGCCTAGCTAGCTCCATACTCCTAGAGGAAATGACTTTACCTTTACCCAAATCCCTCTCTCGCAGTGTTAAGCAGAGTTCTTTCGGCTGCCTGCTCTATGGTTATATGAAGAGCCTCGAGTTCAAGGAATACTTCCGGCGCCGTCGTCGGACATGTGCGCATCGCTCCTGTTATACAAACACATGCCAGTCGTTGTAGCTAGGTGAGCGATTGTCTCACCGTGGCTAGAGTAGTTCTTGAAACCCAAGTTACCGCCCCATAGGTGATCATTGGTTGTACTATCATGATGCAAAGCCATCTTAGGATTCTGGGCATACAACCCCAGGATTTTCCGCTTCGGTTCCGCGGTTGACCAAATGTATATACCTAGTTTTGAAAGTATTTTATGTTTACGTTTTTAGTTCACTAAAAAAGGTCAAACATTAAGCTTTGTATGAATGAGACTATGTTTATTTGAAATTTAATGTATTTAAATATTACTTTAATAAAAGCATAAATATATTTGTATAGCCTAGTTTGTGTACATAAACAATAAAAAGTACAATTAAAAATGTAGCGAAAGTTATAAACTTGTATGCGTATGAAAACCATTGTGGTTGTTGTTGACTTGAAT